AAATAGGGGTACCTGAGTTGCTCAGTTGGTTAGGCTCTTGATTTTAGCTCAGGTCATGATCTCAGGGTCCTTGGATTGAGCACCCATGTCAGGTTCCACACTCAGCAAGGAATCTGCTTGAGGATTCTCTCTCTCTCTCCCTCCACTCCTCCCTCTCCCTCCCTTTCTCTCTCTCTCTCAAATACATAAATCTTTAAAAAAAATTTTAAATAAAAATTAAAAATTAAACCACAAATGTGCCACTTTGGTGTAGGATGTTGATAGTGGAGGAAGCTGCACCTGTGTGGAAGCAAGGAATATATGGGAACTCTGTCTACTTTCCGCTCAATTTTGCTGCCCTAAAAACTAAAGTCTATTTAAAAAATGTTTTTAGGGGTGCCTGGGTCACTCAGTTGGTTAAGTGTTTGACTCTTGATTTTGGCTCCATTCATGATTTCAGGGTTGTGAGATCAAGCCCCATGTTGGGCTCTGTGCTGGGAGTGGAGCCTACTTAAGATTCTCTCCCTCTCCCCCTTCCATTCCCTCCTACCCACCCTCACTCTCTTTCTAAATAAATAAATGAAAGGAGCATCAGGGACCTGTGGGACAATGACAAAGGATCTAAAGTTCCTGTCCTAAAGAGGAGAAAGCGTGTGGCTGAAAAAGTATTCAAAGAAATTATGGCTGAAAACTTTTCAAATTTGGTAAGAGATACAAATGTAGGATTTGAGAAGCTGAGTGAAACCCAAATGAGACAAACCTGAGGAAATCCACATCAAGATACATTGTAGTCAAATATCTGAAAACTAAAGATAAACCTTTCAAAGCAGAAAGAGAAACAAGTTTGTCAGTAAAGAAATAGCAATTCAAAAGACAGAAAATTTCTCATTGGATACCATGGAGGCCAACAAAAAGTGACACAACATTTTTCAAAAGCTGAAAGAAAAGAATCGTGAATCTAGAGCCCTATCTCCAGTGAAAATATCCCTCAGGAATGAAAGGGAATCAAGACATTCTCAGATGAAGGAAAACTAAGAGCATTTCTCACAAGGAGACCTACGTGAGGGAATGGCTAACTGAAGTTTTCTAAACAGTACATATAAAAGAAGAAATCTTAGAAAATTGGGAAGTAAAAACATGATAAGCAAAACTATGGGCAAATACAATAGACTTTCCTTCTACCCTTGATTTGTCTAGCGTTTGAAGGTTGAGGCCAGAATTAGAAAATTAATGTGGTTCTAAATTTACAGAGGACATCGAAGGCAATTATATTATAAATGGGCAAGGGTAAAGGAATGCAAAAGGAGATAAGATTTCTATGCTTCATTAAAACTGGTAAAATGACCACATCATAGATTTTTGGTAACACACATACACACAAATGTACCCAGAGCACCCATTTAAAAAGTTATATGGGGTGTCTAGGTGGCTCAGTCATTAAGCGTCTGCCTTCAGCTCAGGTCATGATCCCAGCATCCTGGGATTGAGCCCCAGGAGCCTGCTTCTCTCTCTCCAGCCCCCCGGTGCTTGTGTTCCCTCTCTTGCTCTCTCTTTCTGTCATAAATAAATAAAAAACTTAAAAAAATAAAAAGTTATACAAAGAGTTATACTCAAACATTATAGATAAATCAAAATTGAATTCTAAAAACTGCTCCAGTAACCCAAAGGCAGGAAAAAGAAAGCAGAAATGAAAGCAGACAGAAAAAAAAAAATAGAAAAAAATGGCAGACTAAAGTCCTAACATATTAATATATACCCTAAATGTGGGGCGCCTGGGTGGCTCAGTCGGTTAAGCTTTCACTCTTGATTTCAGATTAGGTCGTGATCTCAGGGTCAAGAGACAAGGCTCCTTGTGGGGCTCAGCACTAAGGAGGGAGTCTGCTTAGATTTCCTCTCCCTCTGCCCCTCCCATTGCTCACTTGCATGTCTGCACATGCACTTTCTCTCTCTAAAATAAAGAAAACAAGTCTTTAAAAAAACTACCTTAAATGTAACTGACCTATTTACACCAATTGAGAGATGGAGATTGGCAGAGTGGATTAAAAAGCATGACCTAACTACATGCTATGTGCAAAAAACTCACTTGAAGTATAATACTATTGGGAGGTTGAGAATAAAAGGCTAGAAAAAATGTATATCATGCAAACAGTAATAAAGAAAAAGTAGTGGTTATATCAATACCAAATAAAATAGACATTAGAGCAGAGAAGAGAGCCAAAGACAGGGGAATTACATAATGATTAAAGGAGTGAATCCATCAAAAAGACAGAGCAATCCTAAGTATGCAGAATTTGCAACAGAGGTGCAAAATATGTGAAGCAAAACCTGGTAGAGCTGAAAAGAGAAATAGAAAAAGCCGCAATTACTGTTGGAGACTTCCTACATTCCTCTCTCAATGATAATAGAGTTAGACGGAAAGTCAGGAAGTATATAGAAATCAACAATACTATCAACCAATGTGATCTGAAGAATATTTATAGAACATGTCATCCAACCATAGCAGGATAGTCATTCTTTTCCAGTACCCATGGAACATATGTCAAGATAAAACATATTCTGGGCCAGGAACAAACCCCAGAAAATTTTTTTTAAGTAAGCTCTATGCCCAACATGGGGCTTGAACTCATGACCCCAAGATCAAGAGTCACATACTCCACCCACTGAGCCAGTCAGGTGCCCCCAAACCCCAACAAATTTAAATGAATTGTGTTTAAATATGTATGTTCTCCAACTGCAAAGGAATCAAAGTTGAAATCAAAACCAGAAAGATAACAGGAAAATCTGCAAACACTTGGAAATGAATAATTCCCTCCTAAATAACCCATGGGCCAAAGAGTCTCAAGGGAATCCAAAAAATACATTGAACAAATGAGAATGGAAATACAATATACCAAAACTTGTGGTTTTTGACAAAGGTGAAAAACCAATTCAATGGAAGAAGTATAGCCTTCCCAACAAATGATGCTGGAGCAATGGAACAACCACAGGCAAAAGAATAAACTAAGACCTAAGCTTCAAACTTTACACAAAATAGATCACAGATGTAACTTACAACCTAAGGCTATAAATCTTTGAGTAAAAGACATGACAAAATCTTTGGGATCTAGAGTTAGCTAAACAGTTCTTGACACCAAAATCATGACCCAGAGGAAAAAAAATTGATAAATTGCACTCCATCAGAATTTAAAACGTTTGCTCTAAGAAACACCAGCTGAAAAGATGGAAAAGACAAAGTCACGGTGTGAGAGAAAATATTTGCAAACCACATATCCAACAAAGAACTATTATCTATAATATATAAAGAACTCTTAAAACTCAACTGTAAAAAAAGCAGTGTAATTGAAAAATGGGCATATGACAGAAACATTTTACCCAAGAGGATATGGCATAGATGGCAAGAGAACACATGCAAAATTGGACCTGATTAGCCGCTAGGGAAATACAAGTTAAAACCACAGTGAGATGTCACTTCACATGCATTAGAATCGCTAAAATAAAAAATAATGACAACACCAAATGCTGGTGAGGATGAAGAGGAACTGGATTCCTCATACAGTGCTGGTGGGACTGCACAATGGTACAGGCACTCTGGAAAATCATTTCTCAAAAAATTAAAATACACTTATAATATGACACAGGATTTGCACTCTTAGGCATTTTTCCCAGAGAAATGGAGAATTTTGTTCACATGAAAACCTATATAAGAATGTTTATAGCAAGTTTATTCATAATAACTCCAAACCGGGAACAACCCAGAGTTCTTCAACATGTGAGCGGCTAAACAAAGTACAATGTATCCATATCATGGACTACTACTTAAAAATAAAAGGAGCTAAATTTAAGATATGCAACAAATTGAACAAATGTCCACTTTCCTCATTTGTAATAAGATATCTGTGTGTGGGGGGTGCCTGGGTCGCTCAGTGGTTTAAAGCCTCTGCCTTTGGTTCAAGTCATGGTCTCAGGGTTCTGGGATCAAGCTCTGCTCAGCTGGGAGCCTGCTTCCTCCTCTCTCCCTGCCTGCCTCTCTGACTACTTGTAATCTCCGTCTATCAGATAAATAAGTAAATAAAATATTTTAAAAAAGATATCTGTGTGTGTTTGGGGGGGGGGTGTCTCAAGGACCTTCCTGTTTGGGAATTTAAGATGCAGGTGAGCAGAGTGAGGCAGAATGGGAGCATATTTGGAAGAGCTTAGGGCTTGTATTTATTTTATATTTTATGTTTTAGAACGTTTAGAGATTCAAAATACATAGAAGGAACTGGCTCAATGAATGCCAGCTGTTGTGTTTCACGGGCATCCTACAAAGCCCATTTTGGAAGCCGGGAAACTCAGGAGGAGGAGACTTTAGGGTAGTTGCATTCTGTCAGCAAAGGCCATAGAGTCTGCTTAGTTGCAGTGAGTGAGTTTAAGAAGAGTGGCGTTGCCTTCTTACACTGAGATCTCACATTTAAGTTAGTGTGAGACCTAACCTGAAAGGACTCTGTTCCCAGGAACAGTAGGAAATGTAAAGGTTCACCAGTCTGGGTACCTGAAAAATAAGAAAGGCTCACTGCATCCTGAACACTAGGAGTAAAAGGAAGTCCACCGTCAGAGCACACGTAGCTGGTGGTAGAGTATTTGTTATGTGATTCTCAGGCATGACCAGCATCTGTATTGTACTCAGATTTGGAAATGAAGTAGGGACTGAGTCCACGAACGGTTCTCCAAGACTGATTGCTACCCATAATATTCAAAGTCCAGGTTCTATGCGCGGGATTCAAACCTGGCTAAAACTGGAAGCAACCGTTGCTACGGGGTCTAATGGGGGTGTATTTAGGGTCTCCCAGCAGCCAATCCTAGTGCCAGGAGCTTTCGAGGGGGCGTAGCCACTAAAGCCAGTGGCCAATGGCAGAGGGCCGTTGAATAGGGTGAGAGCGACCACCTGGTGACGTGAATCAAGTGCAGCGGTGGCGAAGGGAGGCCGAGGACTCGAGGCGTGTTCCCGGGTTTGTGTTGTTAGAACCATAGCCCGTACTTCAGCTGCCACCCATCTTCGATCCTCACCTGCGGGTAAACATCATGGAAGATTCTCAGAGTGAGCAACAGCGGATAATACGACGCCACCACCGCGAGAAAAAGGAGCTGCAGGCCCGAATCCAGGGCATGAAGAACTCAGTCCCCAAGAGCGACAAAAAGAGAAGAAAGCAGTTGCTCCTCGACGTGGCCCGCCTTGAGGCCGAGATGGAGCAGAAGCACCAGCAGGAGCTGGAGAAGTTCCGAGAGAGCTTTCCTGATAACAGCAACCTCGACTCCGTCACTGAAGATCTCGCCAAGATGGATCTTGAGAACCAGCCTCCTCGGCAGTCCCGGGCACAGAGAAGGCGCGAAAGAAGGGCGGCTCTTGAGAGGGAGCGCCAGGAGAGGATCACCGAGGCCGAGATGGAGCACCTGGCTAGCTTCCGCCGCGATGAGGAGGAGAAGCTCGCCACCATTCTAGGATCCAAGAATCTGGAGCTGAAGGATATCCCGGCCGATGGCCACTGCATGTATCGCGCCATCCAAGACCAGCTGGTGTTCTCGGTGACCGTAGAGAGCCTCCGGAAACGCACCGCCGATTACATGCGCAAGCACGTGGACGACTTCCTGCCCTTCTTCAGCGACCCGGACACCGGCAACGCCTACAGCCTCGAAGACTTCTTGAGCTACTGCGACGACATCGTGCGCAGCCCCTCGTGGGGAGGCCAGCTCGAGCTGAGGGCCCTGTCGCACGTCCTGCAGACGCCCATCGAGGTGATCCAGGCCGATTCGCCCGCTGTCGTCATCGGCGGGGAGTACACCCGGAAGCCGCTCACCCTCGTCTACCTGCGCTACGCTTGCAACCTCGGCGAGCACTACAACTCGGTGAGGCCGCTCGAGGCCGGCGCCGTCGGGGGCGCGGCCCCGCGGCTCTTCTAGGACGGCCGCTGTCATCGTCGCCCTTGCTGCCGCTGCCGCCGCAGCCGCTGGAGCCGAAGCCGTCGCTGCGCCTCCTCAGTAGGCTCCGTGTTGTGTTTTTTCCCCCTTCGGTTTTCTCGGTTTTTTTTTTTCTTGTTTTGTTTTACTTGAAAGTCGTACCCCCCAACCCCAACGCTTCTCTGCCCACGTCCCGTCCCCCGCCCCCGCCCCGCCCCGCACGCCCGCGCTCTCCTACCTGGCGGTTCTATCCCCTTCTCTCACTCATTCATTGCTTTGGGGGCTGGAGGCGGGTGGGGAACATTCAGGACCAGGGAAAGATCTGCACTGTACTATCTGAGGAGAGGAAGTTGGCCAAATTTTCACCGCGTCTTGCCCTGAAGGGCCTTTGCCTCCCTCAATGATGAGAATTGGTCGCGCCGCACATGCCTTTGAGATCAAAATGGAAACTGGGTTTGATGCATTCTTAACTGGGGAGAAATTAGTTTTGCTCGGAATCTCCGGATTGTCCCTATAAATACATTGGATTTTAGATAAATTTGGAGTTTTTGTGATCCCAATGCTTTGTGAATGCCTTTCTCTTATTTTTTGGAAACAAATGTATTGCGCACTCTTTGCAGGGGGCAGGGGGATGCTTTTTGCTTCAGCTGGGCTGTTCCGGAGATGTCTCAAGTTATGAACAGTAGTTCTCTAGTATTTAGTTTTGTTTTTTCATAAAATTTGTGTGGTGCACCATGAATTTTACTTATTTGGGATTTGCTAAAGTCTACTTAAGAGCGTTTGTTAAACTCAGAAATTAAATGTACAAGCTAAACATAGAAATTAAATTTACAAAAACTGATAGGTAAGGTTCGCTCTGAGATGTGAAAGATCTCAAGTTAATTTCCTTTATTAAAGTTAGGAAGTGCTATGACTTTATTCAAGAAGTTGATTCATTTCATTTTGTCTACAACTGGTAGGAAGCGAAAAGAGACACCCTAATAGGCAGCCTAACATTCTGTAAGGATGAGACCCGAACTAGTAAGTTTTCTTCACTGTGAGACATGAAAGGGTACAACTTTATTGAAGCAGTTGATCCAGTTTGTTGTATCTACAAGTGGTATAAAGTGTGAAAGATCTGAACCTAGCATATTTTCCTTAAGTCCTAGAGATAGGAAGCTACTTTAAAAGATTTTAAGACCTAAAAATAGTTGATCCATTTTGTTGTATCTACAACTGGCATGAGGCAAAAAAAAAAAAAAAAAGTGAGCAATCTACTTTTGTTGATAGTACAGACTTATTGATATCTTGAGTTTGCCAGTAGAATAGTAAAAATGAAATGATTTGCAATAAACAATTTAAAATTTTTTAAATCTTTAGAGCCTGTGTTTCAGTGAGATTACTTAAATTCATTTAAAAATCCAATGTACACGCCAAATGTTCTAAAACAAAATATATAATTTCAAAAATTTTAAAAAATATTATGCAACTTGTTCTTAAAATAAAAGTTTTAAAAATACCTGGTTCTCTATTTTTGTATAGCTGACTTAGTTTGTACAAACTTTGTATCCCAGGATCTGCTTCAGCAAAGGAATCCTGGAGGTTTAGGGAAAGGAATTGGGGACCCGTTAAGGCTTTGGGGAGGAAGACTGGCCTGGTGGCATCCTGGAGTAGAGTGTTTCCCAAGAAAGGATTTAGGGAGGAACTTTATCTAGAGGCTGTCCAGAGTTGATGTTTCACTCTGTGAAAAACATCCTGAAATGGTTTGGTTTTAAGATGTTCTCATTGCTATGCATGAAAAAGAACTCCCACTTCTAGTAGCTCAGTGAGTCCAGCACTGCACTGCAGAATGGAAAGAAGTGCCAATGTTTCTTTGGGGGGGGTGAAGGTGGGAGGGTGTTCCCAAAATGCAAAGCGGAAAACCCTGTCAGATAACTAACCTGTGTAAATATGTGTCAGATAAGTTTCAAATGGCCAGTGGACTAAGACAAAAAGGCCCCTGAGAAAACCAGGGATTGGGTGCAATGTAAGAAGAAGGCCTTTCATAGGACTGAAAAGACTGGCTGGGGAAAAGAGACAAGGCCCAGAAGGAAGGCATAATATATCTGGAAAGGAGGGTGAAAGTTGGGGATGGGTTCAGCCTAGAAGGAAGAATGGGATATGGCAGGGGAAAGAGGCACAGGCCGAGGAAGGGGACTAAGCTGATGAACAGGGCATAGGCAGTAAAGGTCCCCTGGGTAGAGGAGGGGACCCGCAGTGGGTATAGCACACAGGTGAGCAAAGGAGGCCTGACCGGGGACATGGGCAAAGGTTGGTGAAAGCCTCTAGAAATGAGAGGGGTGCTCTACTGGAGTGAGCTGCATTGAGTAGGGGAGGGTGCCTGGCTAGGGTAGGAGACCTTGATGGAGAGGGGTTCACAAGCTGGAAAAGAGGGCCTGGCTGCAGGAGGATTCCTGGCAAGGGAAGTGGTCCAGGCTGGGGGCGGGAGCAGAGGCTGGTGAAGGGCTTCTGGTAGCAGGTGGCCCCAGCTGGGGTGGGTTTTATAGGGAGGGGAAGGGAAGCTGACTGGGAACTAGGTCACTAGTTTCTGGGCAAGGGATTAGGTAGGGGGCTCAAATAAGACTGGAAAGGAGGCTAGCTGGGGACTGAGACATTGAAGGAGGAACAGACTGGTGAAGGGGCTATTCATTGGAGCAGAGAGGTCTGGCTGAAGGGTACACTGGATGGTAAAAGGATCCATGGTTGTTAAATGGGTAAATAGCTGGGCCAGGCTGCCCATCCAGGGGAGGGACACTTGCCTGGGAAAGGGTTCTGGAAGGAGAAGGGGCCTTCCTGGGTAAAGAGGCATTGACTGGGAAATAGGGTCTAATCAGGGGTGGACTGGATGGAGGAGGGATCCAGGCTGGTAGAGGAGCCACCAGACTTAGAAAATTGCACAAACCTGGACAAGGGGCCCAGGCTGGGTTTAGGACACAACTTAGGAAGGGGAAAGGGACCTGCCCCTGAAAGGGTAGAGGCAGCATAGGGGGAAATTGGGCCTAGACAGAGAAGGGGGTTTAGGCAAGTAGGAGGCACAGGCTGGAGAAGGGCCATAGGGTGTGGAAGCAGTCACAGCAGGAGAAGGGAGCCTGGCTAGGACTGGGGAGATGTCTGGGAGGTGCTGGCTACAGGCGCTAAGGTGCTAGCTGGGAAAGGCAGCCTGGGGATAGAGGCTTAGGTGGGCAAATGGGGCCAGGCAGGGAAAGCAAGCTTATCTGGAGAGTAGGCCTGGCAGGGCAAGGTGGAATATCTTGGGGAAGAGGGAACAGGCATAGAAGAGGGACACGAGAGCGGGCAAGAGAACCGGGCTTTGGACTAGGGCACAGTGTGGGGAAATAGGTCTGGCTAGGAAGGGGATAATGGGGAAGGGGAGGAATTGGCTGGTCAAGGGAAGGAAGCCTAGTTGAATTAGAGGGGAAAGGATGAGAAAGGAGTTCTTGACTGTTAAAAGTGGGGGTGGGGTGGGAAGCCTGGGGAAGGGCACCTGGCCAGGGAAAGAAATCTGGCTGGGAAAGTAGGCATCAGCTGCGGAGGACACAGGCTGGGTGGGGAAGGGGTTTAGATGTGGGAACTTGCCCATCTTGCAAAGGGAGCACAGGCATGATCGGGTGGCACCAGCTGAGGTTGGGAGACAGGCTGCAATGGGCCACTGGATGTGAACATACCACAGCAGGGAAAGGTGGCCTGACCAGGGAGAGGCTCTAGCAGGGGAATAGGGCCTGGGAGAGAAGGGGGGTCAGGTCTGCCCGGGGAGGAACACCCAGTCTAGGAAAGGAACCTGGGGGTAGGAGAGGTTTGGATGCCAAGAACGACATAAACTGGGCATGGCGTAATAGGTTAAGAGACCTAGCCCGGAGAGGGGAGCTAGCAGGTGAAGGAGCTGAAGGCATGGGCCTTGACAGAGGTCCCGGCTGAGGGAGGACATGTGGTTGAGGAAACAGACCTAGCTGAGGAGGAGGGCATGGGAACAAGAAGGGGATGACGTGTGGTGGAGGGGGAAGAAGCGGGAGAAGGGACTTGGCTGAGGAAGGGGGCCTTACTGGGAAGATGAGCCTAGGCTGGGGGAAGAGGATGTAGGTCCCTCAGTAAAGAGAGCCTGGCTGGAGCGAGGAGACTGTCTGGGTAAGAGCTCCCACCTGGAGAAGGAGACTGGGCTTAGCATGGGGATCCTTGTGGGTGAAGGGGTCCTGGCGGGGAAAGTTCACAGGGCTGGGGAGGGGAATTGACAGGTGATGCAGAGCTGAGAGAGGAAGGTGCTCAGCTGGGGAAGGAGGCACTGGCTCTGAGAGACCAGGGAAGAGACAGCTCCTTGGGAAAGTGATCCAGCTGAAGAGGGAAAAGGCCTGCGCTGGCTGAGGAAGGGGAATAAGCTGGGGAAGGGGATCCTGGCGAGGGTTGCTGCAAAGGGGATACGGGCTGGGAATGTGGCTCGTCTGGGGAGGGGATGTAGGTGGGTATATATGGGTAGAGGGGAAGCCTGCCTAGCAGGGGAAGGGACCCCATCTGGGGAGTTGCCCTTGGCTGAAGAAGGGGCCTTAATTGGGGAGGAAAGCATCAGTAAATGAAGAGAGCCTGACCAAGCTGAGGGGACCTGGCCGAGAGAGAAGGCATGGCTGGGTTCCACATTAACAGGCTGGTAACATGCTTCTGATGGCAGACGGGCTTCTGACGGGGGACCCGTAATCTGCTGGGGCAGGCTGCATGGTATGGGGAAAGGGGACTACCTGGAAAAGGGGGCCGAGCTCTAAGGGAGTAGGTATTGACTGAGGAGCAGGGTTTGGGAAGTGGACCTGTGTGAGGAATGGGGAGTAGGCTGGTGACAAGGACCAGGGGCGTGGTTGGTGTAGGGTATAAATTAATATGGGGTAAAAAGAAGATTCCTGGCTTTGAAGGAGGAAGAACTAGGGAGTAGCACCTGGCTAGGGGAGGTGACACTTGCTAGGGAAGGGATTCTGGAGCATTATCTGTGCATAAAGTAGAGGGGC